CACTATTTTTCTTATGTAATTTTATTTTGAATATGTCAATTTAAATTAAAGTAATTAAGAAAAATAAAATCATACAATTAAATTAAATTTAAAAAAATTAATATAATGAAATTGATATAAGAGAAATAATAATAAAAAATGTCAAAAACCTTGCGCGACAAAATATTTCGTCGCACAAACTATTAAATTAGTTTATTTTAGTTTAAAATTTTCAAAAAAAAAAATTAAAAAAAATGAATATTTCGGCGCAAACCTTTGTGCGACGTTAACATTCGTCGCGCAAAGTACACTTGCTCGACATTAACTTTCGTCGCGCAAAGGAGATATTATTCGTCGCGCAAAGTAGATAATATTCGTCGCGTAAAGTAATTAATATTCGTCGCGCAAAGTTGTTATGTTCCGTCGCGCGAAGTTATTAATATTCGTCGCGCAAAGTTGTTATTTTCATCGCCCAAGTTGTTATCCTTCGTCGCGCAAAGTGGCTCTGTGCGACGAAGAATTTTCGCCGTCGCGCAAACCCTTTCTTTAAGAGTTTTGCGCGACAGAACTTGCGCGACCAAAATTTCGTCGCGCAAAGTTTGCGCGACGAAATTTTCCTTTGCGCGACGAAAAATCATTCGTCGCGCAAAGTGTTTTTTGTAGTAGTGAGAAGAAGAAGAAATACATAAATATATAAGAGAAATAAGATTCAGATTCAAAGAAAGGAACGCAAAGAAAAGTTTGAGTATAGGAGCTTTGGTGGTCATACTTCTCCAAAGCCTTCCACTACGTAATAGTACAGGAAACTCCAAGCCGAACCTTTCTTTCTCACTTATTGATTTTTGTCTTCTTCTTCTTTTTCTTCTCAGTCGTGCCTTCTTTTTCACTCAAGCCACTTGCTTTATATTTGGTTTTGCTTACTCACCGTTAATATATAAAAAGAAAAAAAAATTAAAGCTAGAACAAGAAGAATAAGAAGACCAAGAAGAAATGGTACGCTCGACTTGTTGTAGTTCTTGTTGCCAACGTTGCTAATCCCAACATGACGGCTGTTTTTTGCATAAAATCTATTTCGAGAAATGTTGTGGTTTCTCCCCATCCTTGCTTGATCACCACCTCCGCCTTCTTCGTTGTAAGCATGGTGAATCCCAACATATGTGCTGTCAATTGCAGAGAAATAATTCTCATTAATGTTGTTGGTCTCGTTGCGTTCATCAATATTTTCTGCCTCTCTATTTTCATTTTGTTGGAGCTCTTGTTCAGTTCTTTCTTCTTGGGGCTCTTGTCTAGAAAGCGTTCTAGGGCGACCATGAAAGTGGCTTCTTACCCTCTCATGACGGCTCTGGTTCAATTGTTTAAAAAAGACTTGGAAAAGTCTTGTAAAAAAGGACTTTGTGTGCGTGGTGAAAGGTTCAAGATTTTCAATTTTTTTTTCAAATCTCGACTGTGCGAGTATATTTAATAAAAATAAAATAAGGAAGGAAGGGTAAAAACAAAACTGACTACAACATTGAAGGCAACAAGATTGATTCAAAAGAGGAAAGACGAAGCAAGAAGCTGTACTTAATTAAATTTGGCAACATGTACTACAACTCGAGGAAAGACGAAGCAAGAAGCTCGAGTGAAGAAGAAGGAACGAGCAAGAAGCCATGGTATAAGCTTTGGTAAAAATAAACAAGAGAGAAAGTAAGGAAAGCTGTGTTGCTGAATAAAGAAAGAGGCTGGAGTTCATTTCCATTTTATAGTCCATGTCTTTGTTTCTTTGTAGTGTCTACTATTTGAATGTGGTTAGTTACAGTATTGGAGTTTAGAATCTGGTCTCTTGGGTCGATCTGTGGAATTTAATATATTGATTTTCAGCATGAAAAATACCTTCTACATGAGAAAAGTAGGGATTATGAACCCCGAAGTCATGTGGGTCTTGATCAAAATCATCAGTAAACTTTCCCCCATTCGAATGCCATGAACATCTGAAAGCTTAATTCTGAGCATGAGAAAGAACTAATAACGAAGAAATCTGACTTATTGATTGCCACAAAACAAGTCCATACATAAATCTAGTTTTTCCTGCCCCATAACATGTGGTCAAGTCTTGACCTGCCCCATAAAATCTAGTTTTCCGCCAACTATTTATTTTTGTTCTTCTTGGTCGTCCTGTTTTTTTTTCACTGAAGCCGCTTGCTTCATTTTTTGTTTTGCTTACTCTCCATTGATATATAAAAGAAAAAAGAAGAAGCAATAACAAGAAGAACAAGAAGACCAAGAAGAAATGGTAGGCTCGAGTTGTTGTTGTACTTGTTGCCAACTTTGCTAATCCCAACACGCTCGCCTTTCTTTGCATAAAATGTATTGCCACAAATGTTGTGGTTTCGACCCCTCCTTGGTTGATGAACATCAACACCTCCTCCACCTTCTTCGTTGTAAGCATCGTGAATCCCAACATCTGTGCTTTCAATTGCGAAGAAATCATTCTCATTAATGTTGAAGGTCTCGTTGCTTTCATCAGTATTTTCCTCATCATTATTTTCGTTTTGCTGGAGCTCTTGTTCAGTTCTTTCTTCTTGGGGCTCTTGTCCAGAAAGCGTTCTGGAGCGACCAGGAAAGCGGTTTCTTACCCTCTCTTGGGGGCTCTGGTTCAGTTGTTCAGTTTCAGATCGAGATCGAGACCCATCTTATGTATATGCAAAGATAAAAATGGAAAGATCTTCAAATAAGTGGAGGCCAATACTTCAAAATCAGATGGAAGATAATCTTTCAAGAGATGGAAGTTACTATTGTAAACTAATTACATAAATTCCTTAAACCCTATACACACATAGAATCACATCAAGGAAAAGATCTTGAATCAAATAAAAATATTAATCATATTAGTACTTACCTGCCATTGATGAAAGCTCAAAAGAAAAGTCTTCTATTCTCTGTAGAGTTTCTTATGTTCAATTAGCAATAGAGACTAGATGTTTTTGAACGTGTGTTTCTAAGACGGCATGGACCTCTTGAAAATGGAATAAGTTACTATTATATACAATATTCCTAATGATCAACTTGGAAAAGTCTTCCCAGCAAAAAAAAAAAAAAAGACTTGGAAAAGTCTTGTAAAAAAGGACTTTGAGTGGAGAAAGGTTCAAGATTTTCATTTTTTTTTTTTTCAAAGCTTTACTGTGCGAGTATATTTAATAAAAATAAAATAAAAGAAATACAAAATATTTGACTTCTTCGGACACATGCACCTTTGAAAGAGAAGTTCACATTAATTATATAATAAAATTATAATTAGTGCTTGCAATTATCAATTATCTAGCTAATTGATTACGTTGAACTTTTGTTTTGATCACATGCAGGACAAAAATGGACCGGACAGACTTTTTTAAGTGGCCATGCCTGTGGAAAAATTATACAATACGGCAATTGGAGTAATCACCAGTGTTGACCCGGCCCGGCCCTTGGCCAGGGCAACTAGGGCATCGCCCGGGGCCCACAATTGAGAGGGGCATAAAAAAAAATATGTCCATTTATATAGGCATATGCAAATAAAAATAAAAATAAAAGTCCTCATAACAAAATAAAAATAAAAGTCCTCATAACAAAATAAAATTAAAAGTCCTCATAACAAAATAAAATTAAAAATAAAAGTAAAGAGGCATGTGTGATATTTATTGAGAGTCTTACTTGGTAGTTTAAAACAATAATAAAAATAGAGATTTTCTATTTAAACCCCGCACTTCTCTTTATTCACCCCAATACTTAAATCATTAAGCTGTAAGTTTTATTATTATGTAAAAAGACAAAAA